CAAGAAAGTTCTTGAAAAGTTTTTTGTTCTTGAAAGTTTTTTCAGTTCCACTTGAGAAACATCTTGAGCCTCCATGAGCACATCAATGTTTGCAGCTAGAATTACCAATATGCTAGTATGCCAGTGAAAATGTGATCACACTGAAATAGATTCTCCTTCTTACAGCTGAGGGTGTTTTTTTGTTTTGTTTTGTTAGTTTTGCTGTTTTAATTTTTACAAATAAAGCTAGATTGTCTTACGCTACCTGTGTCCACAGTAAGAGTGCTTTTCTGGAGTACCATTTGTAAGTATTCACACTGTACAGAGACAATCTTGACTTGAGAACTCCCATGTCCTCCTATTTATTACGTTAATAACTGTTTTTAGGAATAACCTAACCATGTGGAGAGACCGCTTTTGATATGATTGCATCAGCAGACAAACCGAGGGACTGTTCAGTTACAAACCAAGTACTATAATGGAACTGGTAGTGTATGCATTGCCACACTGATAAAACATTTTGAGAAACATAGCATCAAAATGAGGTTTGCTGTCTCCATGAATCATTCTCCATTGCCTAAAATGACTACAGCTAAGCTGAAGGATGATCTTCTAACTCCTTTCAATTCCTAAAGAGCACTGTTTCAATTTATTTCATGTAGAATATGGAACAGCCATAAAATGACAATGAGATTGCTTAAATTTAAACTGCTAAGCTATAACTGAAATAATCTTTAAACCTCATGTTACTTAAGCTTAAGAGCCTCGTATGCATCCAGATCTGCTGTTACAATGCTAGAATGTTTACATGTCTTTTATTAAGAACAGATAGGTTGTTTTAACATTAATGAAATAATTGTTTCTACTGTCTTCTGAAGGCAGAAACGCTAACTGTATACTAGTTTAAGATAATCATTTATATTCCTGGGAAAGTTTGACTGCTAGCTTACAGGTCATTTCATGTAGTGTGAATCATACCATTTGGAAATCTGTGTCAGAGGACCTGCCATATACTTTGAGAGTAAGAGATCTTTGAAAGAAACTTTTAGCAGTGTAATTCCCACATGCATTTTACTCACACCTTTTCTAGAGAGAAAGCTACCAAGAAAGTAAGAAGCAGCTATCTCGAACTCAGGGATCACACGCAGAGACAACACAAGCTGAAAAGGAATAAAATTACATCCTTGTCGTAGTTCAATTACTCCTTCCTACAAATTACAATAGGGCAGTGGTTAGACAGAAACTTTTCACAAGGATTTTACTAACATTGTTCCAGTATTTTAATAAGAGCTAAATTCTCTGTTTAATACTATATAAATGTAGAGCAAGCAGATTACATATACAAGTATCATGGTTTTCTTTCTTTCTTTCTTTTTTTTTTTTTTCATAAATATTCAATCCAAGTGTCCATTACCAATGTTTTTCCTGTCATGTTGGCTGTAGTTAAAATTCTTGTGAATATTCAACCGCTACTTGGGATTTTGGATGGAGATTCCAAGACTTTGCCAATTCTTTTTAGTGAGTGAGTGTAGCTCCTACCTGAAAATTCCAGAAAGGAACAAGCCACAATTTTCTTCAAAATAAAATAAAGAATAAAAATAGAGGGAAAGATAACTCTTGCAGCACATCTCAATGAAAAATACACGAGCCCTTGCATACTGCAATTGTGAAACAGAAAAATGTAATGAGACAGCAGTGCTTGTCTGAAACTCCTGCTTCTTTGCTGTGAAGTGTTAATGGTGGGAAGTATTTCTATGCACATCAGCAAAGTCGTAAACAACATCCAAGAGAACTGGAAAGTGTCATACTAGCACCCTGGTTAAGGAACTTTCAAAATAATCCTGAAGTCTGCAGGTTAAGCATCCTGTCCTGATTATAACAACTTACTCAAGCCCTGGTTATAATTTATATGAACAGTTATGGGACAAAATGCAATGCTGTAAGTACTTATTAGTCTTGACCTCACTGGAGCCCTTGAAAAAAGACCTTCAACAAAATCCCAGATGACTGATTTACTGTTAATTAGACAGAGGGTCAGCTTGAAGTTTATCAGACTGAAGTCAAATCAAGCCTCTGCAAAAAGCCCTAGAAAGACATGGTCTCCAGTCTATCACAGAAATATAATTATTAGTAAATAATTTTGCTGAAGCCTGAATAATTCTTCTGTTGAGGAAGACCTAGAATACTTTACGATGCCCTACAGCCTCATAGCATCTGTTGGCACTTTATTGCCACTTAAAAGCAGACAACCACCCACTGAAGTGACAACAGTTCACATGCATGTGTATGCACACACACACAAATCATGAACTGCTAAAGAGCCTACAAAATTTGCAATAACATTTAAGCTATGCAAACTTGCCTTGCTTTCAAACTCTATGCCTTATTTTCTTAGTAGTAGTAAGTATCAGTCAAAAGTTTAGTTCTGTGAATTACTCATAAATTAACTGTTATGAACTCTTAGGCGTCTATACTAGAAGACAAAAAATCTAGCAACTCAGTTTTGAGAAGCAAAGAAAGTCAAAGCAAATGTGAGGGGAAATACTGGAGACAAATGGCAGTTTGATTATGAATTATGAATACATCTCCATGTTTTAGAATAACCTGACACTACCACTGCACTTAAAACTGGGCAGCAATGACAATGACTTTGAGAGTTCATATTCACCTCCCTCTGTAAACTACTGTAAAAATAAAGTTTTCATTCAAGTGTAATAAGAGCTCTGCTATATAACAGTGAATGAATGAACCACTTATTGCCTTAAAACTTAGAAATAAAACAATTTCCCACAGATGCTTTTTTTTTTGTTTTTTGTTTTTTCCCTTTGTTATAGTGTCAAATAGAATTGGTACAATTCAAAAATACAGAAAGTAATTCAAGAGCTGGAAAGCATATCTGATTTGTTGTGTCACACAATTTTATAAAAGCTATTCAGTTGGAAGGCAATAAATGAGCATTCAAGTGATTTACACACTTTTGGATCATAATTTTTTACACAATGTTTTATTTTTAAAAATATATATATGCTGTATACTATTATGTTTATTCTCTGTGGTATAATAAAATCATAAATCTATCTGATGAAAAATAGATTGTATTCCAATTGTATCACGGTAGCACATAGAGCTGCTCTTATCATACCACTTACAAAGATCAATGGTAACCTGAAAATGATTTCATTCCATGCTACCTCTAATATATTAGCAATAAAGGACTGTTTTTAATTTAAAAGTCACATCAGCTGCTGTCCATCTTCTTTTAAACTCCTCTCGATTTCTGAGACTGACATATTACAGGAGCAAAATATCACCTGGTAGCGACTGGGTTTTCTGACTTTCCCTGAGAAAATTAGTTGAAAAACTAGCTTAAGTGTCAATTCAACAGAAATGCAAAGCTTTTCCTGACATGTTTCCTGTGCTACCACACCCTAATCAAATTTCCTCCTCTCCCTGCAGATCTTACAGAACTTACAGTCTTTGGATCTTACAAAACTTAGAAGCAAAAGCCCATCTGATTTGTAGGACTGAAACTATGAGAGGGGGATTCTTAAAAATGCTTAGATAGTTCCACTGTGATGATGTTAATGTAAAATATAACATAAAAAGTTCACTGATGGTACTATTAAAAGGAGCAATCAGCTCCCACAGCCAGAATATTTCTCAGCCAGCAGTACATATTTGACACATATTTAAAACCACAAACAAAAACAGTAGTAAGGCATGTGTTCATTTTGACAAAAATCATTCTAACCCTTAGGCTGACTCGGCATAACAATGACAAAAGCAGTGTTATCTGGTAGCTGAAGAGGTGACAATATCTGGTTTACACATTTGTTAAATATACTGGTGCTGTTTTTTACAGATACGTAACACCATATACCAAACACACCTTTGACTATTTTATGACATCAAACAAAGTAAGCAAGCGTCAGCATTTCACTACCATCAACAGCTGGAAAATTGTAATTGAAATTGCACTGTGCAGTGGTCCACAACTCAAAACATATTTCCCAGATCTTCAGTAACATTGTTGCTTCTGGTTAGCTACTACCAAAACATCTGTAGTCACTAAGATTTTAAGCAAAATGTTGAAAAGTGAGATATTGATAATATTAATAACATTAATAATAAACCTTAAAAAAATCTCAGCTTGGCATAATGAATATAGCAGTAATTCAGAGATGACCTAAATCAGTTTTCAGTGACGTATAGCAAAGATTTATCTCCATTATTCAGGAAGCTGTTTGGTAGCAGACAAAGACTTCTCACAAATGTGGCCTTCATTAAAATTACATGATCAAAACCCAAGTGTCATGAAGGACATTCTTTGAAGGCATGACTCTACAACATGCCTTGTTATCTAAAGGCAAACGTTGTCAAAATTTAACACAAGATGATGGTTCTTGTTATATGAATGTATAAAGGACACCCAATCTATTTGCATAAGAGCATCTTTCACAATATTTAAAATACTTCAGAACACATTTTTAAAGCACTGATTTTTGTGAACTAGTATGTAGCAAAGAAATGGACAATGAAATAAATTGCAAACCAAATGCTAGTTAGAAAATCTGATATTGCAGCATAAACGTAATTGAAATAGGTAAAATAATTTTATAAGAAATATTTGTACTAACTTGGTCTGTCTACTTTCATTAGAACTGTTTAAAGGACACCATGGGTTCAAATTTTACTTTTTTTGTAAAATTCTGCAGCTCTCAGTGAATAAAAATTCTTTTAGCTATAGAAAATACAAATAGATGTTTTTTTTCTTCCGCAATCACAACTACTGCAATAATTCCCAAAATTAAGATGATTCAAATGTTAAAAGTACCATGCAGAGAAACAACAGAGCACAAATATTAAATGTTATTAGAATGTGTTAAATGCTCAAGCAGTAATGGTGAATTACTATGGAAATATTAACCTACAGTGAGAAAACAAATAAGTCAAAAGGTGTATTTCTTCCTAAGCATAATGACTTTCACTAACATTTTGAATACAAATAAAACTCCCTTTACCTGGAAGAATTCTTCTTTATTTTTTCATCAATATCATTAAGGACTTGTTGAAACTCTGATTCTCCAGGAAGGACATTTAACAAACAGTCCAAATTGGAAGAATCAAGAGAATACTCTCCTCCCCACTCCATATTCAGAATCTGTAAAATAAAATATAAATACATGAAAATAGTTAAATAAGGAAAAAATCAGACTCTAAGTATCAACATATATGAGGTGTTGAAATAATGAAATACATATGTTACTACTGGAAGCATTTGTGTAGGAAATTATAAAATGAGTGTTGAATAGCACACCTTTTGCCTGCTTCTCAGTACAGTTCTATAGAGAGGTACACCTGTAAAAAAGATATAAATTTCATATCTCGCATTTTTCATTAAAAAAAACAACACAGTTATTATATCTCAATCGGAGTCGTACCTTTGTTTTCTGGAATTGAAGCACATCATCACAGCTAACTAGAACCTAAAAAAAATCAGCTCAAAACACTTAAGTGTACCTGAAAACAAGAGACATAAAGCTTTTGAGATGTCTTTCTCAGTGACTTACTTGATACCTATTTTGCCAAATCCACTGGTTTACTCAAACAAAATAAGACACTAAATCCCAGGAGTCTCTACATCATAAGCAAAGCACTAGCAGAGTGCTGGTATTTTTTGAGAAATAATGAAATTGATTTTACAACTAGTGATGACTTAGTACTAAAATTAAAGAAAAATTACTTAAAATTGGAAAGTTCTTAATAACTATTCTTTTTAATGTCTACTATTTATTAATACTACTCATAAGCAGTAACTTAAGGCACAGATGTTATTATTCAGACATGCGCAATATCTGGGCAACAAATTATGATGAATTAACCATTCCCCATTTTTCTTACAAGCAGTAAAAGTTTATGAAACAAGCAGTATGTTGGCCAACAAAGATTATTTTAATATTTTAGACTATGAACTGTAATAACAGAAAATGCATACATAATTTTCCAAACAATGAAATTTTGAATGATCAGAATTAGCTTTATTTACATTGTAAGCCTAATTTAGGTTATGAAAAACACCACACAATTACCACTGTGATTGTGGTTCATATTATCTTTTGGATAGTGACTCACTATATTTTCACTAAAAATACGCTTGCTGTACCACCAAACCTTATTGAAAAACAGATCACGAGTGCCTACTCTGCCAGTATTCAAATGCAAACCCATCAAGACTGATACTTTTTCCTCAAATACTGTTTCTTCTGTGAAGGACTAAACTCTTAACTGAGCAGAAAGTTGCCCAGTTCTTATATGAATCTTAATAGTGATGGCATGAATTTAACCCCTTTTAACCCCTTTTTAACTTCCTAACCCCTGTTGCTGCCAGCCAATAATATTTTTTTTTCTTTCCTTTATTTTTTTTTTTCCCCGAGGAAATTCTTCTAGCCACATTTGGGGAATTTACCTAGCATCACTACTGTAAAAATAAACTGATGGATTCTAAGTGAACATTCTACAAACATCTGCTCCAAAATACACATCACATTAAGACTGAAGATCAAGATTGTATGTTTGGTCAAATATGAGTACAAATTATAAATAGCAAAACCGCCCATTTCTTCAGCAGAAGTGTCACCATTGATTCTGGCTTTGGTCTTTCAAAAAGAAAAGTTAATGCCTGAAGGTCCTGTAGAGCCTATTATCTTGCACATCTGAATGAACAGTATAAAACGCATAGAGCCAAGAAATATTTATTATATCATTATCTTAAATTCTCAGAAGCTAAAGAATACCCCTTCACAAATAACAATTCCAAGACTTCTCAACATTTTGGAATGTAGCTGAAACTCAGTCACCCTTCTGGTTAAAATGTCTGGATGTAAAGCAAATGCATCATGTAATACATTGAGGGAGGATCGATCTTTGAACATAAGACTCAAAGTATCTTAACAGATGTTGCTGTAATTAAAGACACTGTAATTAAAAGTAGAAGTTAAAAAGCACTCTCCCAAGTGCTGAAAAACTTCAGTCAGCCATTCTGGAAAAAAACAGTGGGCCAAACTAAGTTGCTCAACAAATGCAAAAAGATTAAACAGTGCTTTATGAAACAGAGATGAAATAAATATTGAAAATAAAGTTGTTTACTTGTATATGATACTATTTATATTCAGACATGGTCACACAAATCCATTCCCTTTTCTCTTAAGAATTACTTCAGAGTTTATACAGAATGTGACACTAACTCTATTCAACACCTATAAATGAAACCCATCTTTTATTGAATTACTCTTCCAGAACAGTCAAAGATCGGTGTAAAATGTACTGTATAATAGATACATATAACGAAAAAAAACATGCGTTTGAATGATTCAAAGTTTTCATAAAATAGCTGTGCAATCAAAATTTAATATTTGTTCCTTATTTTTTTTCCTTTCATGGCAGCCAAAATAAGCTTGTGTTACACAGAAAAATACCAGCACAGTTTACAGACCACTTACTGTTTAAAAAATTCATCATATGAAAAAAATCACCTTGTAAACACGACAGCTTAGTTTTCACATATGCATTTCTGTAAGGCTTCTATGTCATACTTTCCCAGTTCGCTTGTCAAAACAAGGTAATTATTTTTCTCAGTCTTGGTTTATGGTGCAAAAAGAAGCATTTGATTAACCAATTTCCAAATACTGTTTTACATGGTCAACAGCAACTCCTTCATACAAAAATCTAAATATTTCTGTAATACAAGACTATCACAAGAAGAAGCAAAAAGCAAAGTAAAAACGTTGCAGAAGGAGTGCCTAAGTACCTCAAGACATGAAATGATTCAGATTGAGCAGGGACTCCACTGTTCCTTGAGTGCCCTGGTGGGCCCAGCTGAAGGAGACCGCCACCTGCTCCACCACTGGGTTATCCCTTTCTGTCCCCCTCTCTTGGGGAATTTGTGGCTGCTCCCTGACAGCCAGTATGGCAAAGCCCTCATGAGATGGTGGAAAAGTGATTTTTGTTAAGAGAAGAACCCGTGTCTTCACATTTTTATTATTTGTAAAGTTACGGGGGAAAAAAATGTCTTTCATATTCCAAATTATTTCAAAGCATTTTAGTCTTATAATAATGCACTGCTTCTGCAAATGTAATTAACTTAATAATAGCTCTTATGCTGCATAAATAGGATCATTCTATAGGTTTTGTATTAACTATTACAGGGAAATATTATGTGTTCCAAGGCAATCAATCTTACAGAACTGGATTCACATGTAGCTCAACTGTAAGAGCTACACTTCTTTTTCAAAACATATTAGAGGGTCACCAATCACCATTTAAATGAGGTAACTGTCACTCTCTTTTGGTGGCTACTCAGGAAAGGTAACCTACGTACAGTGTAGCTCAACAAGAAACAGCTTTCAGGTCTCTTATTTTAACTCACCTCTAATTTAAAATTTAATATTTAAATATTTTTATTTTTAGTACCAACATGATTTAACTTCACTGTAACAATGCGACACCTCTAACAAACTGAACATTAAGAGTTGATTTTTACCAGGAACAATGCATTTGAAAAAAACATTATGGAAGATTCAGGTTGATGTTACAGACACACATATATATATATATTTCCAATTCATGCAGTGTTAGCCACTTTTTTTTTTTTTTTTTAACCACTTCAGGATCATTTTTCATTGCTTTGTGTGAGTTTTTTATTTCAGTGTGAATGAAAAGGAAGCAATCTTTTCATAGAAGTCCTAAATAAAATGATAATTAGTTCAAATCAGGTATTTTCTCATTCTGACAGAACAACTCAATAAACATTATTGTTGTGAAAACCCTTCTATTACAGAAATACATGGAAATTTGAAGGAATTTCTAGGATTAATTTGTAGTTTGTAGTGATTATATTTACTGTAATAAACATTTGTTCTCAGACAAATAGTTTGTCAAAAGCACATGTACCTAAAACTTAGTAGATTTTTGTACAGGCATTTTCACTAAATGTATATACATGTTCAGTATACCTGTATACATGCCTAAATCACAATATCTAACTATAGATTTATAGTCTAACATACTGTAAAATAGATATGCAGCTATAGATCTCCCAGTCCCAGAATAAATCCCATTCTTTTTAAATATAAATCATTAGTCTTTCATTACACTCGGTAAAACATTACTAAATAAGTCACTTTAACAGCACAGAAATCCTTTCCAACATTTCTAGTAATTTTGTAAGTGTTGACAGAACTATTTATTGATAAATATTCAGTACTGTTACTCCTTAGTTTACAGCACTTCAGGCAGTTAAGATTCTTGTTTTGATTTCAGTGGGTTTCAGGTATCACTGGACAGAATCAAACATCAAGAGGGTCAGGCAAATTTTTTGTTATAGTTACACATGACCTGCAGGGTAAAAAAAAAAAAAATATCTAAATACAAATTTAAAGTTCTGTTGGCCTGGGATCTCCTCTGAATCAATTGTCTAGTGTAATGGAAAATTAATTAGCTGGGTCCTTTAGGCCCTTTTGAGAAAAATATAAAAATAGTACCTATGTATTAAAGAAAATCAGAGCAGAACTGAAGCACTATTTGTAAAGGCAGACATGGTGTTTGGTCACACTCCGTTAATCCTTCAAGTAAACTTCAAACCTTCTTGTGTTTTCACAAGAAACCTTGAATACATCTATGCAACCTCTGCTTAAACTAAGAAGTTTTAGGAACTACACCATTTCACAAAATAAAGATCCGAAGAGAGACTGGCCCATTGCCTTTGAGCATCCAGCTGAGCCAATTGAACAGTGGGTCTTCAGAGAGAAAACAAAACTAACCATCAAGGTTTCAATAAAACCCAGAGGTAGGCTTCTCTACACACACTAGTGTGTATGAAATAATGTAAACCTTAGCCTACTACTTAAACATTGGCAGATATGTAATGGAGCCAACTATTTGTGGGCCGTCACACCAAGTAAATGATGCATACTGTGATAAAAGGTCTTAAGTCCCTGTGTTGATATGCTGGTAAGGCCAGAACACGACACAATATTTAACACATTTATTTAAGCAGACTGAAAATTAACAACTGTAGTTAAATGAATTTCAAATAATTTTAACATGAGTAGTTTGACAAAGATAGAGAATTAAATACCAAGTTTGTGTTTAATAGTGGAAGGA